AAGGCTCGAATATAAGCCCAGCTTGAATGGCCTAGCGTATAAGCCCAGTTCAAGGGGAGCGGATATTCAAAAGAATGTGAAATAGAAAGTTATAATAATAAGGAATGAAATAAAGAGAAAAAAAAAAGGTAAAAAAATGAAAATTACAAAATTTGTGAGACTACCGTAATAGTAAGAAATGTTTCGGCCCATTAAACTGTATACATTTCTTACCATTACCAGAGCTGCAGGAATTTGAAGTTGTAGGAATTTGTAAGATATTTTCAATTTGTCCTGGAACTGTACCTCTCAATGTTAGCGCCCACATCATCCAACGTTTCGAACGACTGCCTGATTCTTGCATTGATCGTTTCATCATCGTTCATGTTCATAGCGAACCTCAAGTCCGCGATCGCAGTCTTAATGAGAATAAGCACATTTGGTATTCGATTTCCATCGCTCTTTCCCTTCCCCCACTCCCCAAGTTCCCTCCTCTCCTTGCCCTGAGCGTTCGCGTCAAGCTACCACAAATAATGGTCATCCTTCGCAGAACCAACTGGAAAGAGTAATGCTCGCAAGAAACAACAAAGTTTTTTTTTTTTTAAAAAAAAGGGTCAAGTTTCCAATTTGTATGAATAGTCAGACTGGATAAAAAGAGGACAAGGATGGGGGAGAGGAGAAGGAGGGGGTGGGGGAGAAATGTAGCGAATACCAGTGAAAACCAACAAAAACCGAGGATAAAAAGCCGGTATTGCTTGAAGTCACAAAAACTACATACTGCATGCCAGAGGCTACGATATATCACGCTGTAATGCTAAAAATACTTGTAATGCTGTATAATGGTACTGGTAGAGAAATCATGATTCAAAGAATCTAAATACTGTAAAACAAAGGAGTTCGATTCACCCCCGGTACGAATAATAAATTACGGCCGTTAGAAGGCCGAATCGTAATCTTAAAACAACTGGACGGTCCAATGAAATCAAAATGTGGAACAGCCGGAATCAGGAAGTTAAAATGAAGAGTGGGATAAGTGAAAGACCCCATGGGCCGTTTGGGCCCTGCAGGTGGAAGGAATTAAGAAAATAAGGGCTGAACCGGTACTGGGTGGCTCTAATTAGGACGTGCATAAGACGGCGTAGATCCTAAATAAGTTTGCTAAAATAATTCGCAACAGTTGGCAGGCCGAATCGTAGTGTTTAAAACAAGTGGACGGTTCGAAGCATGGAAAATGTGGAATGGGCGCAGTCCGCGAATTTTAAGTTAGAATGGGGTTAGTTTAATAAGTTATGATGGAAAAGATAGTAGGGCTGTTCATGTAGCACAAAAGTCAAACTCGTCATCAGCTTGCTTGAATAACAGGGCCATCGATTGTTTGTTTAGCAGGGGGTTGTTGTATTTTGCAAACTGAAAATAAACAAAAATCGAAGAATAATCCTTACCGATTCCTGAACAGGACTGCGCTGTTGGCCTCTTGATGGCATGATCATCCTTTCATTCATACCTGAAAAAAACACCACTCTTTCCATTCTTTACAACTGCTCAATATTAGTCTTCGAGTTTTGACCGGTCATATGCAACCAGTGCAATAAAAAAGTAAAATTTCAGGTCCACTCCATCTACCGACAGCAAATAATCGTTGGCTAACCGAAGGTCCAATATAACACTGCGCAGGATTTCCCTCCCTCCCCCTCCTCCACCACACACACACATACATACATACACGAACACACACACACACACACTCTCCCGTTGCGCAATGCTACTCACATCTTCTCCGACCCCCTCAATTATGCAATGTTCTCCGCGTCTTTTCAACCCCACGTCATCTTACAGTGTTCCCTCACATCATCTTCAAAGGCTACTGACCAGTGTTCTTCTACCTCCTTTCCCCTC